TTTCACACTCTGGGTATGCTAGAATTTATGCAATTAGAAGCGCCAACTTATGAGCGCATAACTGTTGAATTCTTGAGTACTTTAGAATTTCAGTTGAAGCACAGGTGGACAGGGGTGGAGGAAGAATATTATGGTACACTGAGGTTTAGGTTATTTGATACTGACCATAGCCTGACCATAACCGAGTTGGGAGATATTCTGAAGCTCCCCAATTTTGGACCCGGAGCCCCTCCGGGAAATTTTAGTGCAGGGGACTTCTGGAAGGCTATTACAGGCATAACTGATTATGTCGCGAAAGCAGCAAAAGCCTCGTGTATCCATAACCCTTGTTTCAGGTACGCTCAAAAGGGATTGGCATATACATTGTTCGGCAGGGGTGACAGCACAGGGGTGGCGACTCAGAGGGAGTTGTACTTCATGTACGGCATGGCCAATCACGAACTCATTAATGTAGCTGCCTTTGCAGCTGATCACCTGAAGAGGGTTGCGAATGCACCTTCCGGCGAAATAAGTGTAGGCGGTATGATTACTCAAATCGCAAATCACTTTGGCCACGGTGCTCTCTTAAGAGAGGAACCCACTGTTGCAGGTAAGACAAAAATAGATCTTGCCACACTGACTGCCCAAGGTATGATTCGAGTCTTTGATAATTACTACTCCTTGGTAAGACGAAACAGTCATCTCCTTGCTTTACCTGCCCCTGACTTTATTAGTATTCAAAATGTGAATAACTGGCTATATGAGAGCCCCATGCAGGATGAAGAAGACCAATTTTATGATGGTACAGGTACAGAATTCTTTGAGGATGAAGGAGATCAGGTAGAAGAAGCGCCTATACCGCCTACTCGATTCTCACCCCATCAGGAATCCGGCTCAGGCTCGTGGAGCTTATCTAAAAAAGAATGGGATTGGATGGAGAATGAGATGTGTCATCTTCGAAGTGAGCAGACGAGGCAAGGCGAGGAGCAGACAAGACAAGGGAACGAACAAATCCGACAAGGCAGGTTGATCGGTGAGATGCATGAATGGATGCGGCAGATGATGCTGCGCGACCAACCTCCGCAACCATGAACTCTGTGAGTCCTCTGCTACTAGTGTTCCAACAGTGAGGACACTGTTGAATTCTAGTGTGGGGGTATTTTATTTGTGTTTTTTATTTTTTGTGTTTTTATGTTATTTGTTTATGTTATTTGTTTATGTTATTTGTGTGTTTTCAATTCTGTTTCAGTTATTTGTTTATTTAATTTCCAGTGTTAGTTTGAGAACATGATAGCGATCCACAGGAAGACCCCCTGACATTGAGCTAATAAAATTAATAACATTGTTGGTTGGGGAACTGTTTAGTGAAGATGTTGAGTGAGGTGATGAGAAAGTATATAGAATACTCAGAAAAGAACCGTGAGGATGAAATCGAGATAATCTTGAGAGATAGGTAAAAGGCCAACACCCTGGGTTTCCCAAATAGGAACGAGTTCGACGTGTAGATTTGTACCATAGTGCTTTGATCTGAGAAGTACCCCTGAGTAGTTTATTTTGACAATCAGGTTCCATCAAAAATAATCGTGTGTGCAAGGGTAATGAAAAATATTGAGCTAAGGCACAGGAAAAAAAAACAAACAAAAAGGGGCAATTAGGAGACTAATCCTTCTAAGTTGGGTAACCCTCACCCGGTTATTCAGCCCAACGGCGGCCGAACCTGAAAGCCATTCAAAAAGAAGAACAGTGCCAGAAAAAGAAAAATGTCATTGATAAATCTTGTGCACACGAGGAAAATCATAAAAGCCGTATAGTGATTGTCCGAATGAAAGGGAGGAAAATCGAAAAAGAAGACTTAAGTACAAAGCATAGTCGGAGAGGTTACCCATAGGGAGACTGAGGTCTGTGGTTTACCGCAGTCTAGTGTTTGCATGTTACCTGTTTTGAGGGAAAAGCCGAGATTAATCCTAGGGGAATTGGAATGAGAAGTTCAAGTATGAGTATTATCACCGTAACTCACAATTCTATGGACGGTTCTGTTACGAAAAAAAAGATATTAAGTTCGGGTTGGTGAGCTTTTTGCTTGAGGACAAGCAAAAGTTCAAGTTCGGGGGAGTTTGATCGGTGGATTTCAATTGTGTTTTCAAACGCTGTTTGTGGTTAATTTCGCAATGTTTTTATCTGTTTTTCGAAGCTTTAGTTGTTATTATCTGCATTACTCGTAGTTGTGTGTCTTCGAGTCTTATTTTTAAGTTTATGTTACTTTTGCCGCTGGTGCGTTTGATTTGGTTTCTTTTAGTGTGTTTTTGGCAGGAATGGATAGCACGACAATCGCACCGCATTCGGGGGCAAAGAAAAGTCGAAAAAGGGAAATCAGAGCTACAACACGGGTACCTGTGTTGCACAACACGGCCCGTGTCATGGAGGACACGGTTGGCAGACACGGGTAGACCAAAGCAGAAGAAAAGAAGACTCAGACTTACAACACGGGTGCCCGTGTTGCAGCCCTTGGAGAGGAGACACGCCCTGAAGAAGTCAGCAGCCTGACACGGCCACCCGTGTTGCACAACACGGCCCGTGTCAGGGCCACTGAAAGTGAAATTTCTCTGTTTTCTGATTTTTTGCTGTCAGGCCTATTTCGAAGGGCATTTGAGACATTTCGCGATGTAATTTGAATTTAGATATAAGAGGCACATTTTAGAAAGTAGGAGACACTTTTGAACTGATATTAGGATTGACAACTGAGAGGAGTTCGGCTGGAAACAGAGGATCGATCAAAAGCGGAAGCAATTGATGATCCAAGGATTTCAACTTGCATTGTAACGATCTTTTCCTTTTCAATTCTAATTACTTTTATGTTTACCAAGAACATGAGCAGCTAAACCCCAAGTTGTTAGGGGGTGGTCCTAAGTGCGATGTAATGACTTTTGTTTAATGATTCTATGAGAACTATGTTATTACCTTTATATATTTTATTTTGCATTAATCTTAATCGTATTCATATTGGAAAGTAGAATTCGAATCGTGTTTAGGCTTTAGTCTGGAAAGTCAACCTAACACTTTTGCAAAATAGTCTCACGGTCGATATTGCTTAGGAATGAGGATATCCCGTATCATGTATCTTATGGTCAGAACTATTGCTTGATGCTTTTCATGGACACTGAGGAATTAGTGTATAGGAAAATCATCAAAGGGTTTTCATTAAGGAATTAAGGCAACTAAAGTGGCCAACTGATAAATTAAGGTTAATAACTAGTATAGTAGAATAATCATACAGGGTCTTTACTCGCATCGTATCCACTCCCCTAACATTGTTCTTAGATTGATTCATAAGTCCTTATTTACTTGTTATATTACTCTGCTACCAAACAAACCACTAGACCTTTTGTTCATTTGAATCCTAAAAATTCCATTAATTACTACGCAGTCCTCGAGATCGATACTTGGGACTTTTCCCTTATTACTACAATTGGTAAAAATAATATACTTGTTATTTTCCCGATCAGTAAGCCATGAGTACGAAGGCCCAAGAGTAAGCCATGAGACTCGAAAGCCAAATGAAGTCGAAGGCAGCCAAATTTAGCTCTAAAAGCTAACTTAGAGTAGATTCATGTAAGAATCACTATATAAGAATTTGAGCAAAAATCTATGCGTACAAGCCATTTTTCGAAAGTTAAATTAATTTTCAATTTCGAGATCACAACGCAATGAAATAAATCAACAACCAACCAAACATATTGTTATTATTACAACAATTTTATAATTTTTTACATCATCTCAAAGTAATCGAAAAATAGAATGTTAAACACAACACACACCCTACACACAATGAATCCGCATTGTTACGAAATTGAAATAGAACAAAAAATAAAATAGAAACAAATTAACATACTACATATATATATATATATATATATATATATATATATATATATATATATATATATATATATATATATATATATATATATATATATATATATATATATATATATATATATATATATATATATATATATATATATATATATATATATATATATATATATATATATATATATATATATATATATATATATATATATATATATATTATCACTGTTATGTAAATTAAAACTATCAACACTGTTATGTAAATTGAAAAAATATATATAAAACAAGAACAACAAAAATGAACAAGAAAAAGAGAGAAAATAAAATAAAATAAATGGTAGATCTAGAGCAAACACTAAAATGTAAACCAGAAAAAACAAATGATAGATCTAAAAAAGAACAGTACCAGTAAATATTTTGGTTTCGAAAAAATAATCTATCGTCCCCTCCACTTGCGGTGTGTATGTGTTTTAATTTATGTTTTTGTGAGGTCTCCTTTTCTGCAAACCGTGTGTGTAGTTTTATAATTTTCAGGAATATTTGAATTTTGCTATTTAATTTGAGTGCTGCTGATTGAATATTTTCCTTTTCCAAGTAGACATATTTACATAATATTTTGGAAATAATTTGAATCTGTTTGGAACATGTTTCTTCTTATTGTAATGTCGTTTCCTTTTCTGCTCAGACATGTGCAAACAAATCCCATTTTTTTCTTATTCAATTCAGCGTGTTGTGTACTGTCGTGAAAGCATGTAGTGTTTCACCAAGATGAGAAAAAATAAAATAAACATTAACAAACTTGTAAATTAAGTCTTGTAAAAAACGGATAAAAAAATTTTAAAAAATATATTAAATATAATTAAATATTAATTATTCACAAATAAAAAAATCTTTAAAAAAATTGTTTGCCCATGACTGATTCCGAATAAAAAAACTTCTCACTAATTAAAATAATTTTTTTTTTCTTACCATCTCATCGAGAAATAGTACTCTTTTGTATATGTTTAACATATTTAACAATTTCAAATTTCAAGCATAATTTTTGTATGGGTAGTGAATTAAAATAATTTGTAACTACCTTATCAACAAACTCACTTGACCGTCCAAGTTTTTGTAGTGTAAGTGTGTAACCAACTAACCCTCACTCTCAAATGGCTTTGACTTTATTCTCCAACATTTCAGCACCATTCTTCTCTCATCACACTCACACCCAAACCAATTTCCAACATTACACCCATTCCTTTTTCCCAACCCGCCATGAAATTTTGACATTCTTCTCTTCCAAGTTCAACCACTCCTCTGTATACGCACCAACTATCACGCCTATCCATTTGCATAATTTTTCCACAGCTTTCTCAGCCGGAGACGGAGGCAGGTTTCCGGGAAGTGGAGGTGGTGGTGGTGATGGTGACGGGGAAGGCGATGAGGAGGAAGAAAGGGACAGGAATAGGAAAGAGGCAATGCTGGTTCTGGCGGAGGCTGGAAGGTCGCTGGAGAGTTTCCCAGCGGATTTAGCAGTTGCTGTTAAGGCGGGACGGGTTCCGGGTTCGATAGTGGGGAGGTTTTTTGAATTGGAGAAGTCAGTTGTGTTTAGGTGGTTGTTCAAATTTGAAGGGTTTAAGGAAAGGTTGTTGGCTGATGATTTGTTCTTATCCAAGCTTGTTATGGAATGTGTTGTTGTCATCTTCACCAAGGTTTATTTCCGTTATTACAATTTCATCAATTAGATAATGTTGTTTGCTAATTTCAATGTTTATGTCATATTCAAATTGATATGTTTGTAGTCTTCAAAGTATATTATGTATGAACTTAAGATTGATATAAGTAGTTTTAGAAGGCGAGGTGTTCGAACTAATGTCTTTATTGCGGCCAGCCCCTAATCGTCTAATTATGTCATTTGGGTTGTCTTCATTGCAGTCTCCAATACCTTCACTGAGTTGGATGTGAAGGGGTGAGTTCAGTCTCACATTACTTAGAGATATGACTTGTGTAGTGTTTATAAAATTTTATTAACTCTCATTTTACAAATTGTTTTTGTAAGGTTGAGTTAGGCCTAATTGTTCTAAGATGGTATCAAAGTATATGCTTGATCTGATATTGGGCTTCCTGCATTGTCCACGCTTCTGGCTCATTGGGGTCTGAGCATGATGGGGTGTGTTTGTGCTTGGTTATACAACCAAATCTTTGACGAAATTGATTTGTGTAGCATACTTGAATATTCACCTTTGGAATTGTGTCTTAACTCAATGCAATGTGTTAGAGATTCCAAGATAAATTTGACTTAATTTCATCTTAAAAATATTTGAAGGACACTTAGGCAAGCTCTTTTTAATTTCAAGTTGTCACAAACCAACGCTGATTTATGAATATGAATTAATGAAGCGTTTGTATAATGTATACGCACGATACTGAGTATTTGATTTAGATCTTGTTAAAGACTTTAAAATCGTCGTGTTTCTTCTCTAATAATCGGTGTTCCTTCAAGTTGAAATTGTATTTTAATTATTGGGAAAGGGATTCCATAACCCTTCAAAGTTTAGTAGTTTTGAATTCTACTTTTATCATTAGGTTGAATGATATACTATACTCTTTCAGGCTGCTGCAGAGTTGGAGCGGCGTAAAGAAAATTTCACAAAGGAGATGGATTTTGTTGTTGCTAATGTGGTATGATTATCAACAAGATATATTGTCAAACGAAAGAGTTCGAGAATTTTTCATTCCTGTAAAGAAAAATGGCAGAAACATATTCTTCTACCAGATCCTAAGAATTTGAGAACCATCTTATTCATTTTGTTACTTTATGTTAGGTGACAGGAATTGTAACAGGTTTTGTGCTTGTGTGGTTTCCTGCTCCAACTGTTTCTCTTAAACCTCCTCCAGCAGTTACAGCTGGACTTATCGCCAAATTCTTCTATGGCTGTCCCGAAAATGCTTTTCAGGTTAAGAATCACTTTAGCTCTAGTATAGCTTTTCCTATTTATGCTTTTGTCTTTCGTTCTTATCATAAGCACTTTTCGATTAAAATCTCTCAGAGTCTCGCCAATACCAGTATATGCCAGTAGATAAGTTCAAATAAATTATGTATACGCTGATGATTTTTTTTTTCGTTTTCTCAACAGGTGGCTTTGGCGGGAACATCATACACACTTCTACAAAGAATAGGTGCTATAGTGGTATGTGTTGGATCATTTAAACGAAACAAAATCGTTATTTTCTTATAAGTGAAGGGTCAATCTCCATCTCTTATATGCAGCGAAATGGGGCAAAGCTGTTCGTAGTTGGAACCGGTGCTTCACTGGTAAATCACCATTCAGCACCTTACTTTCTGTACAAAACTATCCTTTTAGCTTATTCATGAATCTATAACATTCCTTGTTGCACTGCTTTTTCAGGTTGGTATAAGTATAACAAACGCATTGATCAATGCACAGAAGACTGTAAATAAAGCATTTTCGGTTGAAAATTTACCGGTAGTTTCAACTAGTGTAGCTTATGGGATTTACATGGTAGTAGTAAGCAACCTAAGGTAATATATTACAGTTTTTCTTGAAACAAACTGTTATAAATGTTCTTAAATGTTCATCATTAATACATCAAATATTCTTGTGCATAACCTCGTTCAGACTTTTGACTGGAAATTAGAAATAGACCTAGACATTAACCAGTTAGATAGAAACATAGATAATCTACTAAAGAATTTATCTCGGTCGTCAGGTACCAAGTACTTGCAGGAATTATCGAGCAACGGATTCTAGAACCGTTGCTACGTCGAAACAAGCTTATGCTAACTGCAGCATACTTTGCTGTTAGGACTGCAAATACTTATTGGGGCTCACTACTGTAAGTTATTTGACTTAGCTTAATTCATGCTGATAAACTTATGAATCATTTTCGTGGTTTTAGTTTTCAATATTTTGTATATATTTTTGAGTAGATGGGTGGATTTTGCTCGATGGGCTGGAGTCCAGAAGATAAAGGGTTAACCATTACTTACATCACAAAATATATAGCAATGTGTTCAATTGGTGAAAACTTGAATATAGTTGTTCATTCAAAGTACTCTGAATGGTTGATTCTTTAATAATAATGTGGAGTCTTTAAGCTTGCTATGCAACTTTGGCAATTATTTGTAAATGTTTACTTTGTGTGATTTAGAATTTTGAGGATAAAGTCTATATTTTGATTTAAATTTAATTTTTGATTATGTTTTCAAAGAAATGGTGTGATAAATAATCATAATATTATTAATCATAGTTTTAAATTTTTTAATTGCGATTTTTTAATTTTGATATGAAAAATAAGATTTTCTTAGGTTTTTTCTCCAAGATTAAACTCTTTAATGAAAGGAAAGAGAAGGGCATACTTTGAAAAAAAATTAAGAATTGAGTGAAAAGAATTTGAAATTTAGGAGGAAAAAATTTTAAAGGATTTATTTTTATTCATAATACAGAAAAAAAAATCTAGTTTGGAAAACTCAAAAGTTACACCCTTTCAAAATTATCCTAATTAGTTAATTATTTAAATATAATTTATATTATTACAATATTAAAATTTTAAAAAAATTAATGATTAAAATTTTTTTATCACTAATACAAAATTATTCGTCAAAAAAATATTAATTTTTTTCTTCAAATTCCACACGGGCCCTCTAATATCCTTATATTCTAAATAAAACCTTAAGATTTGTTTGAGGATTGCAAGGAATCATTCATACTCAGGTGCAAAGTATTTTCTATCTATAGTTGATGATTATTTCAGAAAGTTATGGATATTCATCCAGAAGATTAAGGATGAAACTTTTGAAAATTTTTAAAGTTGGAAGACTCTGGTCGAAAATCAGACTGGTAGGAAAGTCAGTAGGTTGAGAACAGATAATGACCTTGAGTTCTGCAATAAAGCTTTCAACAGGTTTTGTAGTATGTCTGGTATTGCAAGGCACAAGACTACTGCGGGTACTCCTTAGCTAAATGGCTTGGCTGAGAGATTCAATCGAATAATCTAGGAAAGGGTTGGATGCATACTGGTTAGTGTAGGATTCAAGAAGGTGTTTTGGATATAGGCTATTATGACTACAACATACCTTAAAGTAGGTGTCCATCGATTGCCTTAGGGGTTAAGATGTAACACCCTTTTCCCCACAGAACATTCACGATAATTAAAAACAACTATATCAGAGAATATCACCGCAAGGGTGCCACATTTCGTCATAAAAACCCCTTAAAATCGTCCTACCCCGTAACACGGGTTCTTTCATCATAATTCAATTAAATACTACGCAACGAAAAATCAAAATCTCATCATAGTTTAAAATTTAAAAAAAAAAGTCTTAAAACAAGAAACTCATAGCGTCATGATGTCAACAAGAAATTAAAACATAAAAGTTCGACTCAAGCGTCCCGACCCGATGTTACATATTAGAGCAAGTCCCTCTAATCAACGGAAATAATCAACATACTACAAGGCTAATCTTCACGCACCAAGAGAACTAATCCTGATCACTTGCACGTTACCCACGTGGAGGCAACATTCAAGCAGACATGGAGAGTAATCACAAATTATTATATAAGATATAAAGATAAGATATATTAATCACAAATATCATCATTAATTCATTCATCACAATATCATATTATCAAATCACAATCATCACTAAAACACCCATCAGTTTACAACATCATCCGCAAGGCATTTATTCAATCATTATGCAATGTCACATAGTATGGAATACAACAACATAAACTCATGCATGTGGTACCAATTCAACATGTTGATGGACACTGGGATATCACCCTCCAAAGATCCTCACCAATAGGATCAATTCTACATAAGAACTAGAGCATATCATAAACACCCCAATCCACACGATAGGATTGAAGCCAACATTGGAACGAAGTCCTATTATCAACACTGGACCGAAGTCCTAATATGCTATGAATGTATGATGCAACATATCATAATCATCATCATCATAGGATTGTCAAAGTTGCATCATCATTCATGAAAGTTCATCAAAACATCATAGTATTACCTCTTTATTATACATCTCAATTCTTCATATTACATCACAAATCATCATGTTATAATTATCAAAATACAACACATCAATTACTCAAAGCGTACGAACAACAAGACACAAGGCAGCATAAAATAAAAAAAAATAAAAAAAAACACAGCTCCTGCTCGCTTGGTGTTCGCCCGACGAAGCAGTGGCGAATTCCCTTCCCCATAGAAAAACCAGGAGCACTTTCTCCTGGCGACCTCCAAGTGAATCACTTTCGCTCGACGAAACACCTTGCCCGCCCGACGAAACGTGTGTAATCAGCAAAACTGCTTATGCATTTCTGCATCAAACAGACCCAAAACCCCTTGCAATTTACATCTCTCATAGTATGAAAATTCACACAAATTACATAGTAATTACAATCCAATAACAACACATCATCATAGACTTCAAATACATCATCTTATTGTCGCTACTGCGAAAATCGGCGTCGGCTGACAGAAGAGTCGCCACCGTGCGTTATTTATCCCACGGGAGGGAAAGGAAACGCTCAGAGTAAACCTCGCACAACATGGGAAAGGTATGGTCGTCGCAACCAAAACCTGGATTCGGGAGTCGGTTACGCAAGGGGAAGGTATTAGCACCCCTCACGTCCGTCGTACTCGACGGGATCCACGCTTGTTTTCGGGTATGGATTGTTATTCTATCTAAACTATAGGTCGAGGGTTAAAAAGAAAAGAAAATGACTCGGCAAAGTATCGCACTTTATGCCTACGTATTCCCGCCTGGAACGAGAAATCAGAGTCAACGTAGTTCGCCTACCTACGGGAAAGGAGGGGAAGGTTGCTCGCTAGGATATCGCATCCTATGCCTACGTACTTTCATACAGCATGAAAGATCAGAGCAAACGTAGTTCGGGCCACGTACGACACAAGTCTGTCTGTTGTTTTTTATGAAAAATCTCACCTTAAACAAGGGTTTTCTTATTGCAAAAGGTTGATGTCTGTTCAAATCTTTTGACGGAAGAAATGAATTAATCTCTGTTATAACCTTTATTAATGTTTTTCTGTTGTTTTGAAGGAAGAAGAGATGACACTCTACAAATCCTAGGGTTAAAAGGGAATAAAATCTACCATAATGTTATCATGCATGGGTTAACTCCTAATGTCTATCACATCCTCCCTTGAACAAGGAAGAATGAAAGTCCTACGGGAAAGGAAACGAAAGGAAGAAACGGAAATACAAGTAATAACCGCATACAAGTGAACATGAATATAGCAATGGTAAATGCAATGCAAAGGAGGGAGGAAGGTTCATCTCAACCTCAATCCCATTCATGGATGGAATAAGAAAATATCAAGTGATCATATGCAAAGAATCGAGTGAAAACTCCGAATGAAACGCGTAATCCACTATTTGGAATCGCAACGTGCTATCATGCAAACAAGTCGATAATCGGGCAAACTACACATACAAATAACAGCCACCTAAGGGGTCTTCAACTACCTCTAGCCTATCTATAATAAGAAATATAAACCACGGCATTCACCACGCAAACACAAATCGGCCGTTGGAGCCTTAACAAAAATAAAGTCCGTGCGGAAGTCCAAATTACAAGTTCGAATACAAAATATGAGAAAAATAGCAAAAGGTGCTAAAAAATTCAAATAAAAATCTCCAATGCCCTACATCAAGCCACAAACCAGGGGTGAGAGATACCACAAAAATATCCAAAGATAAATGGTCAAACAAGATGAAAACATTGCAAGATATCTCATGTATACCAAAGGAAAGATTAAAGTGGAGCATGTTAAAGAAAACATCCAAAACCAATTAAAATGGTACAATAAAATTCCCACAAAAATATATCACAATACCTCAACGTGTGTATGAGATCCCTACAAAAGGATTGACATTTAAATTGTGTTTTGATAGGTTAAAGAAATTCAACAAAATGATAGCACCAGCATTGGCCTTTTTATGACGACCCAAATGTAAAAACTCCAAAGAAAATGTCAAAAAATGGTAAAATTATAATTCCAGTTTTATTAAATCCTAGACATCTTAAATATTCAGCACAAAAAAATGGGGATCAAAAAGACTAATTTTCCTATTTTTTATGATTATTTGAAGTCAGCATATAAAACAGAAAAAATAAAAGAAACATGGCAATAGGAAAATAAAAGAAAATAACATGAATAAATAAAAGTGGCATGAGGCTTATGTGGCCGATTACGTGGCGCAGTGAGAGGCGTTGGATGAATGGAAGAAACCTTGACTTGGAAATGCATCCGACGGTGTTAACACCTTCTTCTCCAAATCAAAATTTTCAACTTTGTGAATAGTAACCCGCGGCACTATTCACATGGATTTTTGGCCACTTTGAAGCACCATAACTCCATCAATAATTATCCGTTTCGCACAAAATTTTGGTCAAACTTGAAGGAAAAAATTCAAGGAATCCAAATATGGTCTTAGATTTTCTTGAAACTCTCTCTAACTCCCAAAATGTGACACCTCAAGAAAAACTCAAGAACCAAAAATTGTCATAAAAACCATCTTTTTTGTACTAGAATCCATGTAGGAGATGAGAGCAATGTGATGCAACAACAATAATGCAAGAAAGACTCATAAATCATGAGTTATGTCGAATCCTTTATACCTTGGAAAAATGAATTATGGAGCTTTAATGGAGCACGAATTTCTTTGGAAAAAAGTGTAGAAACCTTCAATAATTCTTGGTAGAGGTAATAGGATCAAAGAAAAGGCTTGAATTGGTGAGGAAATGAAAATCACTTTTGCACTTGGAGCTCACTTTTTCATGTTGATACAACCATGGAATTGCACTAAAATCTTCTTAAAAATTGATGGAAAAATCCTATGTAGTATATTGAATTAATTGGTAATGAGAAAGGATCAAAAAATGGAGAGAAAAAGGATTGAAAAAAATGGAAATTCAAACATGTGAAAGTGTGGGAAAAA